ATCAAGTAATTAAACGTACCCGTTTCTTTACTTTTCTAACGCTACCCAACACTAGGGTAAATTCTTTGCTCATAACTATTCTCCATTCTGTTCCTTTCTTTTTTTGCTTTACCTACTTGTCTTTGATTCTTTTTTTTTTTCTAGTGCACAGCTGTAAGAATGTATCAATTGAAAATCAGCTTACAGTCAGCATACCTTTGTACCCATAAAGTAAAACAGTAAAAACATCAAACAGTAATTAACGTTCAATAAATAAAACGAGATAGTGGTGTAATATTACTCCAGAATGATTAAGTACAGGCCCAAGATTTCCCGTTGCATGTGCCAAAATCTTTAAATACCGTGCGACAACCACACAGCCGCACAAGATTAATGAAGTCACAAATTCAGCGACTCTAACAGATAAGCTTGAGTGAAAAAAAAACTTGACCACGGGGGCACCGATTAGCGGTCGTATTTTGTAGATGCATAGCAGTAATGCATGTGCATGTACACAGGTGTGCTCATCATCGCTCGAATCTATCATCTTGCTTACCCTGTTCTATATACGTGTACAATCTACATGGCGTCGATGTATCCAGCACATCAGACGAGAAACGTACGAATAACGCTATGCTGTTGCCATCTCTGAAAGTAGTGGTTGCTCGCCTGCCAGATTATCAGATAAATATGATCGATTATAGCCATGTCGTGAAAGCCTGTGCATGCAAATGTATGTTAGTATAAATGTACAAGTGTGCAATAAATATGTTACAGAAATACAGGGAAAGCCCACGCGTACCCACTTTCATTTGCCAAGAGGATGCGAACGGGTAAGTCAATTTGCTAGTTGCAAAGTTCACCCTGCAAAAGCTTTGGCTATCTATAATATATATATTATGCTCACCGACAGAGATATAACCACATAACGCGCGTGCACACATACACTATCTTGTCTCGCTTTTTGTATACGTACACAGCTAGGATTTAAATAACCTTGTCGGCGTGTGCCTTTCCGTTGTTGCTGCACACGGTTGCACACCACGCGCTCACACATTCTCGCACTTACAGTCACGAGACACGTAAGTACGCAGTATGTCGTCTACGTAGATGTCTCACCTCCTCTTTCTTCCGTTCCTCCTCCACTTCCACAGAGGTCAACGCATTCTCTACTTACATCTTTGGAGCTCACAAAATAAAGGCTCCGCACTTCTTTCATATTATGAGGGTAAACGAGAATAAATGAACTTATATAGAACTTTCACGTGCTTAACAAGGCACAAAATCATGATACTGAAGTTTATAGCCTTTACGTACAACGTTAACTAATTTAAGGTTTTGTTTGTTCATACGTAATTTTGTGTAAGGACAATGCAATTAATGAATAATTTGTTTGACAGTCAATTATTATTTTTTGTAACTAGAAACTTTAAATTAGTCAATGCAACAAGTGGATGGAGAAAGCGTTTGAAGAACTAAGTTTTAGATTTATCTTTAAAAAACTGCTTTAAAAAACCTCATTATACGTCAATTATAACTTAAAAACTCTAAAAATAATAACAAATGTAGATAAACTGTAACTGGGTAACTCGGTAATTGATAACATGGTGCCATTACGACATATGTTCATTCACTCTAAATGAACTCGATATTTTCATTTGCAATCACCACTTACAGTTCATGTAAAAACTCGTAAAAACACATGTAAAAAAGTGTGTTGCACATAAACAGAAATTATCCACAGTCTCTTTTTACTCTGTTCCATCTGTAAATAGTTAGTGGGGATGAAAAAAAGTAAAGTCAATTAATTGTCCGGCTTGAAAACTTGATTTAGAACTAATGCAAAATACTTGTAAGTTGATTTTTTAACTTTTTAGAATATGTATTTATAATGATAGGTTTCCAAAGTTACTGGATCTCTCGAACTTTTGTTAACTTAAAAAATGAAATATAGGTACAGTCATAGCAAGAAGTGTAAGGTAAATGATCAACGATTCTCAATTCAACGGAAAACTTAAAGAAACGTTATTCTCAATCTTAATCATTAAACTAAGATGTTAGACTTGGGATCGAATTCACTTTTACCATTTAATCCACTCACTACAAAAAATTTAGGGTTATGCTACTTAGGGTAAACGAGAGTATTATTGCGGTTGCTTCAGTTATTGCAGTACTCTCGAATAATGCGTATATTTTAATTGAATTGATGAGTTATGGTGCGTAAGCACTTAAAATTATTAAATCAAGTTATAGAGTAACTAATTCATTGAACTTCAGTTCCTAAATAGTCGTAAAAACTTTAAATTTGTATAGGCAAAAAATTACGTCCGCAATAACTGGTGCACACGTAACCTCTTTTACTACGATGGTATGATTGCGGATACCCGGTTGATTTAACATTGAAATTGACCACAATAATACGTGCGCAATAATACATACAGGCCCGCAATGATACCAGCATTGACAACTGAGCCTTAAAACCTCTTTTTAAATTGATATTCATGAGTTTATAAATTTATAAAAGTGGAATTCAATAGTTTTTGAGATCTTTTTTATCAATGATGAAATTTTCATAAAAAGTTCATTGTTAATAAGCAAGGTAAATGCAACAGAAGCGCTCAAAAGGGTGACAGCCCATAAGCCTACATGTAAAAATTGGCTGAATATGACTTTATGCATTTATAAACAAATTTTCATCCAATTCTCATTGTTAATTCTGTAACCGATAGAACTCTTTTAAATTATCGGGTTAGATAAAGTAGTTTTGGGGGTACACAAAGATACATTTTATACTTGATGATTAAGTGGGTAGTATTTGGTAGCTATATTAAGTTACATGGTAAAAGCAGAAACAAAAAATCAAAGCTTGGCTATATCAGAGTATAGTAACGCTCCAGTTTTTCTTCTTCTCAATGATAAATTATTATTCTAGAACAAACTTCATTATTGAAAAATAATTTTTTCATGCAGAGTTATGAAGAATAGCTGACTATAATATAATTGTCAGGTTACAAAACCATCTTATAATTCTGCACTAGTAAATTAAAGTAAATATTGTAGACGAAAAAATTTCTATCAAATGCAGTAGTATAAACAAATTCTCAGTTATATTTGTCTAGTAAAATTAATGTATATCTGTCATTGACATAAATAATAGTATCTTAAAACTTTATTTCTATTTTCAAATATTACTGAAAACGATCACTTTGATCTTTAGTTTCCAGTGACTTCTTACTTGTATTGAAAAAAGGGTTGTTAGAAAAATTTTATAACCATCCTAAAAATTACTGTATTTTGTAGGAAAGCTATGAAATACTTGCCATATTAGAAAAATTACTATGCTGCACCAGATTATATGAAAATTTGCTATTTAACATGGTAATTTTTACTACTTGCAGAAATAGTTTTTATATTTCAAAAAGAGAAAAATATATAGTCATACTATTCATGCTCAGGGAAAATGTACTCACAGAAGGTTCAATACAGATTTTATATAAAGTACAGATTTTTTTCTCTTAAGAGTACGGATATATATAGATGCATTTTTAGAATTTTTTTATCTTAAAAAATCCGGTCTGATCGGAAATCGAATGTCTGTCCAAAAACTGACTAAACCACGACATGCTTTATGTCGGAACGTGTACTATTTGTGATACACACAATAAAGTTAAAAATCAAAAGGTGTCTTGTCGACCGCGGTGTTAAACATAGATAATTAGTCGATTCAAAAACATGTGAACGTATTAATTTTTAACCCTTATAAATTAAAAAATATGTTTACCACAGTGATGACATTAGTATAACCTCAAATTTGAAGCTCAATAGGCATGTACACCAACACCTGTTCTACCTTCTCACTCAATCGATAAAAATGTCGTTTAAAATTACTTTTGAACGTAGTCGTTTTTACTATATTGAATAGCAATGCAGTGGAACTAGAAATTGTACTATGTCACATGATAAATTCTACTTCAGAATGTGGGACATTTTAAAATAATTACAATAAAATTTACCATGTTGTATAGTAAAAATTACACTATAACGGTTTTTACTATATTAGACAATGTAACTTTTTATCATGCTGTGTAATAATTTGCGTCATCAGGTGAGTATGCCTCAACTTTCCTAAGAACATCGTAATTTTTATGATAGTTATAATGCTTTTTCTAACATCACTGTTCTCAGTGTAAGTTTACTGTGAGTGTAAATATAATGATAAATTGGTAGTTTTAACTATCCTAACAATAATAATATAAGCGTTGATTTGAATTACTTTAAATAAAGTAAGTTATCTTTAAAAGATAATAGTCATCACTCTTTAACAGTAAATCTTACGATGGCAACGTAAGTTTATTATGTAAATTTAAGCCGATTAAAGTTCAAAATTTATCAATTGTTCGACATAAACAAGAAAAGACACAGTAAAATTGTTCTCTTTTACCACGAAAAAAGCTTTAAGGTATAATTCACAAAAAAATTTATTTTTTAACAATCACAGTAACATAACCCTCTTAAAAAAACGGAAAATGACCTTCGAAAAATTTCTTCTCAACGCTACATTATATCATACCAATGTAGGATAGATAAAACTTTTCAAGATTTATCTACTCTAAGCTGGCCGTGCAGTTGCTAGCGTATCTTATAAATAATTGTAAGTATAGTAGTTTAGTTTGAAACATAAACATTCTTCAAACGTACGTTCGAATAATGCTCAGTGATCTAATCAAACAAAAATGATTATAAAATTAGAATATGAAAAGAAGGTCATATGCAATGTATAGTAGGTTCGCTTAAAATTTCTTGGAGAAGATTGTTAAACAGTTTATCGAAAAAGACATTGTTAGACCAAAATAATGTAAATATTTTGAAGTATGTCGATTGCAAGCAACCCTACTGGTACTTTTGTATAGGTTACTAGTGCAACATTAATTAAAAGTCAAAAGGACACATTATAAATAGATACTTTTCAGTAATAATTATAGAAAGTACAAAAAAGAAGTGTTAACTGGATTCAAACTCACCTTTAAATGAGTTTCGTACGAGCGTCATGCTCATATTCACGTGTGCGCCTCACTATCGTTGCTGGCAACAGTGCCAGCAAGTGTTGTGCAGTGAGCGTGGGTGGTGTATATCTTAGCGTTGTTGCCTCCTGGGGCGAGTTGCTTTACTTTTCAGCCATACATCCCAACGGAAAAGGCAATCAAGAGGAAACGGATAGTAGTGTGCAGTGCGAGGAAGAGATAAAGGGGACGGCTCCCTCTCTTTTTTGTGAGGTACGAACAGGTGCAGATCGAGATAAAACATCAACAGACAAGACGGGGAGAGGGGGAAAGTGTAAGGCCCACTGCAAAAGAAAAACGGAGTGGGGTAAGGAGGAAGAGAGAGAGAGGGGAGCACAAAGTGGGAGTAGGGGGAGGGAAAGAGGAAGAGGAGGGCGCAGGTGTGGCGCGCTTTCAGGAGAACAGCAGGTTCGTCGTTGTTGTCGTCGTCGTCTCCAGGGCACCTCCCTGTTGCTCGGCTGCTGCAGCGTCAGCTCTAGTAACGGCGACGGCTGCGGCTACTGCTCTCATGGCCACCGGTTGTCCAGCAGTGCCCCGCAGCTGACCAGCGTCCTCCAGCGACATCCAACTCGGAGGCTCGGCTCCTCCTCCTCTCCCTCCTCCCTTTCTCCACTGCGCCTATATAGCTTGCTGTGATTGGTGGCAGGTAGCGCACAGGTGCGTCCCCGAATCACAAGCAGCATTCGGCCGACCGCCTTGAATTTTTCTTATTTGCCTTTGTTGAACAGCTTGCGTGCCAATCACCACCCGATCGGACCGAATTCAATCTTGGGACCGCCTGGTAACTACTACAATAGATACGTGCCTCCAGAATGTCCAGAGAAACTGCGCGCGTGCGTATAACTCGTATAAATAAACAAAAACAAAGGACAGTTGCAGCACAAAGCCACTTTTACATATTCCTTCCGCTCGACGCCCGTATCACTAACTGCAGCTGCTGATCTCTTTGGGATACGCTAAGCTCGAAACTCACAACCCGCACCCACGCTTCACATATGGGTGAGATCATTTGGTCCATGCAAGCTCCGTTTCTGCATATGTGTAGGTATCCTTCATCTCTGCGGACGCAAACACACAAACACACGCGCTCTCTACTCTCGTTCTCTTTCACTGGTGATGCTTGCTGGCTCGTACCACACTGGCTGCCTCTCTGGAGCCAAGGTGGACATTAGGCTGGAGAACTGGTCTCGATCGTTACTCGCTGGCTCTGAGATCTTTTTTAACTGCACTGCACAAGAAACTTGGGTTGGAAGGCCCAAAGGAGAAAAAAATCACGACTCAGAGCAACCCAACTGGGTAGTTATGCACATTCGCGACGTGTACAAGGCGCGCACACCTTTGCCCGATGGAGCTAGGAGGGACAGACGATATGGAGAGGAATACGAGAGATAAAGGAGAGGAAGAGAAAGATCGTTCGACGATCGGAAGGTGAGAGAGAGCTAGGCCATGGCACTGGTCAATACATGTCACTGCAGTGGAACAAAGGCGCTAATTGTACCGATTATTCCGTGCTAAGTAGTTATGCTGCGTCCAGCACGCTGACAGACTCTCTCTCTCTATCTATCTATCTCTCTCTCTCTCTCTCAGTTGATCTCCGGTCTGTCCACACACAGTCGTGGCGGCGCGAGCAACTGACTGCCTCGTCACCGTGAGGAGGCTGTGGGCTGCTCTCTCTCTCTCTCTCTTTTTTTTTCTCGGGCTGCGCGCTCCACGACCGCGCACCCGCACCGTATACACTGTAGGGCGGCGAGGGGTCAGAACAACGAGGGAGCCTTGCAGCTAGGCGCTCTCATGGCGGAGAGCGGTGTCAGCCACCGCCCCCCTGAGCAGATCCATGCGTGCGCTCGTGTGTCCAAGGTGTATAGGTATAGGTGTGCTATCTCCCCCTCCATCCTCCCGCACGTCGCCCCCGCCCATCGCTCCCATGCTACTCTTCTCTTTCTCTTCATCTCCTGCGCACGTATATACATATCTGCACGTATATCTACATATTCCGTGCTCTCGGGTGAGAGAATTGACGTGGCGCTCTCTACGCGCTCTTTCCTTCTCTTACCACTCCCTTTGGACCCCGTGTGTAAATGTGGGTACACTTTTTGCTTTTTTGTCGTGCTTCTCTTGACTTTATGCACCACAGCCCATCACGAGAAACAAAACCAAGCTCAAGCGGCGTCCTGCATTTTATGTGTTTATGAGTGTTGGGTCACGAGTCATGCGAGAAAGAGAGACTGAGTTTAAAAGTCTTCCTACCTTAAAGTAAGTATATATACTTTGCTCGCGTGTAAAAACAAGATGGAAAGGAAGGTGAGGGCAAAACGGAGCTGCTCGTGCTTTCTTTTCAACATCCGCTTGCCTGCACGTGAAAACGTATACGTACGCATAGTTAACTGGACTCACTGTTGTCGAGAGCCGACCAGACCATGAGCTATGGAAACTTAAAGATGACGTTGTTCTTTTACTTCGCTACAGCCTCTGAGATTTCTTAATCACCAGTACAAGTATTTATAATCGTAACAGCATAGGCATAATAAGGTATTATTCTTGATTAGAAGCTTGGATACATTTTTTGAGCACACTTCTTGCAGACGAATATATTAAAATTTCTTTATAAAGCACCAATGGAAGCGTATGGTACCATAGAGAGTTACAGCAATTTTTTGAACCGAAACTTCTTTTTTTTTAATTCTTATCATAATTTATTAATAATAATTGTTTAGGAGTGATTTAACTGATCCATTCTCACTCATTATGCTCACGGAGTTCAAATACATAGAATCAAAGGTTTGGATCTGTGAGCGTAGATCAGCCATGAGCACATGTAAGTGGATCCGGTCTTAACCGAAGTAGAAGTTAAATAGAAGCCTAATAGAAAGAACGGAAAAAAGAAAGAGTGTGAAGATGTGCACGTAGAGCATATATGGTAAAGAACCTTATTTTGGGACGCAAGCAAATTTGGGATCAATGGACAGGAAGAGAGTAATACCAAAAAAAATATGACATTTCATTCAAAGTGACAAGTAAATTTATTTATATCATCTCAAATCGTAGGTATTTTGCAAAGAAAACTAAAATATACGTCGGTAGTTTGAGTTATGACTACTACTGATTGTTAATATTGTTAATATTATTATCTACTAAGATGGAAATACAAACTTACATGTTTTGTAGAATACAGTGTACTTGATTTGTCTTACATACGGGAAGTTGGCATCTAAAATTACCTATCCATTGTCTGTGCTTTTTCATTTCTCAGTAATTAAACTTTCATACATTTCACATGGGTATCCAAGCCTAGTCCCAACTTTCCAGGAGTTAAATTCTGGGACAAAAAGTCTGTTTAACTCCTAGAGTGTGCAAAATTTTAATTTTTAAAAATATATGATTTTTTTGCTGATTCGAGACACTACTTTTTTTTTGTTTTTTCAATGATTGGAAAATATTCTAACTATAAGTGATATTTTTTTTTTTCAGCCTCAATAAGATCACTGTTACACAAATTAAAAGTAAATTTAAGCCCATCAAGAAGTATCTGTATGGCATGTATAGTAAGAAGCACAGACAAAAAGTAAAAGCGAATAGAATATTTAAAATTGAGATCAAACAAAATATAGTCACAGTATTACTCGAAATATCGTAACTAAAGGCAAACAAAACGCGAAAGCCAGGGGAAGAGGTGATAAATGCAATCAGAGAAAAAGAGATATGATTGCTCGTTCTTCTCCCCTGCCCTTTCTACAACGTTATGTGCGCAAAAGTATACAAGTATAAAACAGTCAAGATTGCGTTTACGTATGTGCAAAAATAAAAAAGCAGAGGAGAAAAAGGTAGCGAAAAATATAATGAATCAGCAGAGAAAACTCGCAGTGCTTGTATGAGTTTGCCAAATACCTTCTATTCTGTGCAAATAGTTAACGAACTCATATTTTATTTATACGTGGGAGCTTTGCACCTGCACGCTTCAGACGCCAACCCCATCACAGTTAATAACAAATGTTTAATTTCCTGATTTTGTTTGAAGAATAGAATAATTTTCTACTACAAAATATATTGTTTGTAGTTTTGATTTAATACAAAAATTTAAGCTACTCGTTATTTAATCTTATTTGCAAATTTGCGCGCCCAAGGCTGGCCTCGACCAATCACAGAACGAATAAATCGATGGCAATCAAAATTTATTCGTAGGACTTTGGCATTTTCAATATATAATATGGCTGTCAAACTCTTACTTGAGGGTTCTCAGTTATATTCAAGAAAATATAATGTACCTAGCCAAAAAATATACTACACATTTGATAGTCGAAGAATTACTAACGTTTGGACATAAAATCATTTGGTTTATTGGGTTGCGTGATATAAACAACAAGGTTAAGTGAACTAAAAACATTAGATCTTCATTAAAACTCATTGGAATATCTGCTTACAATTGGTTTTATTGTATGCTTAAAAAATACAATTAGTTAAGCCGTTAGATACTTTGAATGTTAACATTTTTTCAGACTTGTGTATAATCGTAGAAAGTATATAATAAATTGAATTTATTTTTGCGGTGGTGTAATTTTGTTTTTCCAATTTTCAATGAATTACGATTAATTTTGACTTGATTTAAAAGGATCAGTTTTGTCTCTATTATTATGATTATTTCTCATTAAAAGTAGTTATAAACGCATATTTTAACGATGATTCACGTAGGAAGGTTATTGATAAGGCAGGCACTCCTAAAAGGTTCTGCTAAATACCCTTTGGACTTGCATTATTTTCACTGACTCGCTCACTTTTCCTAGTATATTATAAATCTTCTAATGATTTGAATCAATTTTGAGTAAATCTGTGCGATAGAAGATAACTTTTTGACCATTTGAGAACGGCAAAGCTGGGTCTAGCAATCAAATCGTAACAGCATCAACAAATGCTACCTTGAACTGTGTACTATTTTTGAATACCATTCGTATTTTTCAGCATTGCTTCTTCAAAGCAAATGATTTGAAAACATTTGTTTTTTAATAACTGCAAAACTTTAATGACAGTTACTTACAAGAACAACGCATAAATAATGTATGATACAGCATAAGAAAAATTTATCAAATATATTGTGAATGAAAATTTGTTTTTTTTAAATTTTGATTTATTTGTTAAAATTTTCTAATACTTTCCATAAATTTTGTAATAAAAATCTTTTCTGATTTTCATGTATTTAATTTCAATGGTTAAAATGTTTACTAAAGTAATCAATTGAATTAACTTTTTAATTGAGCAAGCTAAGAGGGATTCGGGGCTCTAAACTATATTAATCTACCATATTTTACATTAACAAAAATAGATATAAAAAAAAAAAGAAATCAACAAAAGAATTATCAGCAAGTGACACACGTCGTCGGAAGTGTCCACTGACATATACAAAGGAGCTCTCGTGTCTCCGATAAACACTCTGTATAATTATTCCACTAGTGCATAAGCATCAACCGCTTGTTATTCACAATGCAGTTTCATTAGATGTTCTTCCTAACAGGATCCAGAAAAATAGTTTACTTGAGAAAAAAAATTGCACCTAGTGCGTATTAACGATAGATAAAATCTTGGGTGCTTCAACTTTCAAAAAAAGTAATACACATCCATTTCTTAAAAAACGATATAAGCTAAAGCAGACGAACAACCACGACTCGTATTTTATAAATTTTCAAAAACTCAAGATCTAGTTATTATGCCATTGTTTATTCATAACTCTCTTAGTTGATTAAAAAGCACCAATCATAAAAAGTAACTGACGAGCTATTGGAAACGTTATCCTATGAACTAGTATTAACCGCAATAGATATAAATTCAAAGTAACGTATTGCAAAAGCGATGCACGACACTGGAAAAACATATATATGAATGCACGTGTCGAGCAAAGGTCGAGTCATCTCTTATCTGCTCCGATTTCACAGACATCGGCTTGCCAGCGTGAAGGTAAATGTACGAGTACAAACCAATCTCTAACCAACAAGAGGTACGCCATACTCGTGTTTACCGTAGAAAAACAGAGCTGTGAATAAGATGTTCATGCGCATTAGTTTTCTTTTTTAGAGTGAGATTTTTTTTTTTTTTTTTTTTTCACGTGACCATTAGTCATTCTTTTTATCGGCAAACAGCTCGGTCGAGCTTACGCTTTGACTTTCGAGCGATAAGGGATGTGGGCTCTTAAAATATCTCAATAGCCCGCCCCAACCCCCGACGATAATGAGAAAAATTTCTTATCGCTTCTCGAAACTCTCATCGATGTACGTAATTCCATCAGTTCAACTTTTCTTTTTCAATGTACTCACTCGTTTCAATGTACGTTAATCAGCTTGACACCCACGCAGCTTCATTTTGGGTAATGCGGCCTGCCTTGGATTTTACTCTCGTACAACGTGTAATAAGAGTACGGGTTTTTCTACCATTGAAACAATATTATTTTATTATGCATTCAATAATTTGTACTTCGCCACTTATATTTCTTTAATAGATAGTATGAATCAGATAACCTTTACGAGTACTATCTC